AKSGTTTTTAAATAGTAAAAAATCTACACAAATTTAAATTTATGTCTAATTGGTCGCCTTTTTGTGAAATAAGAAAAATAAAAAGCTATTGAGAACTATGACTATTATTCCAACTGAGGACGAGGCTCAGAGGAAAGAATTTTATCCATTATTTCCCATGAGCCACACGTCTTCAATTCTTTTGTGCGTGGGTATAGTCATCGAACGATTCACATCCACTATATTTACTTACCAAGAATGTTCCAGATATTGTTTGTTCACAAGCCGATGCGCCTGCAGGGCAGTTGATACCTTTCATTGGAACCAAGGCTTTACATATATTGATGTAATATGTAGACCTATGAACCGCACCATCAGATGGAAATACCTAGAATGGGACAATATACTGATATTAGATACAGACAGACAGACAGAGAAACTGAAAGAAATAGAATATCTGACGCTCCACTACACGCAATCTGTATTGCTATGAGAGATGCATGTTTGTTCGGGAATAAAAACACAAGGGTAAAGATGGGTGAACAGACAGACACTATCTTACCAGCCAGTTGTGATCGTCTTTAGCAAGTCTACGAATTCCATACTTTGAGTTAGAGTTTTTATTTTGAATAACCGGTGAACACTCAACCTGAAGAAAACATCACATTCATGGTCTTTTATCTTTTGAATCTTTGAAATGGAGTAATATTCAAAACTGATATGATATTGAGTCTCTCAGAGTACATCACTAGTGAAGTGCAATAGTGAAGTGTACTACAGCCACATGCCTATTACTGTTTTCATTAGAATAACTCATAAAATGCAAGTTTTGAAAACATTTAGTTTACCAATAGGGCTTTGTACTCACCTTTCTTTCACAGGCGAGTTTAGTGTGCCACGAGAAGTAGTAGGTACAGTCGTCTGACTCATCAACAAAAACAGGTTTACCAAAGTTGTTACTAGATGYCCAACTACACACAAATGAGATCACTGTGGTCCGTGAAGTCTTAGAATGATGACAGACTTKACCTATCATAATAACAACCAACAGAAAAAGACAGTCGTTGAGGCAGTCCGTCAATCAATTTTTCAATCAATCAACTAAGTGCCAGCTAGTCTATCAATCAAATCGGAGTTCAATCAATCAATGAAATAAGTCAATCAATCAAAAAGTTATTCGGAAAATCATAAATCAAAGTATCAATCAGTCACTTTAGATGATGTAAAATGCGAAAAGCTTACACACTTATTAGGCCTTCTCAGAGTAAG